ATGATAAAGATATGATTATGCTTAACATGACACTCCTGATATTTTCTTCATTCAACAGTAGGCATTATGTTTGATTGTTTGTCTACAATGAAGGGTGTTGTCATGCCCCGGTTCCAAAGTGTAATAACTTGGAACGTGAGTCAGCCGGCAATGCAACCATTCGGCCACATTCACGCCTCTAGATCATCCTGTATATTGATATAAATCCAAAACTACATTATAGAGCATGTAACTAAGATAATAAAAGGAATGTATAGGTGAAAAAATATCTCCAAAGGATTGAGTCCAAATACGAGTTCACAACTATCCACGATGAAAAAGAGTAATAAAAAAAATTTACATCATAGTCTAGTAAAAAGTCACATGTGACTCAAGAAAAAACCTAACTCAAATAACTATCTAAACCAACTGAACTGGAGAACTGATTGAGTAAACGGTGATCGCTGCTGCTGAGTCTGTTCCTCGAAATACTCTCGGTCCTGCGAAGAAAGAACGGTTCCCGAATCTAGGATATGCAAACCCCAGGAGAGTCAGAAAACTCCCAACAAGCATGTAAAATGAAGGAATTGTGCGCGTGTAAGCACTGTTTTAAATATCGGCCGATAATCGATATTATCGGCCGAGTTATCGGATTTGGGAGCTCTCCGATAGGATAACTTGGATTTTTAATCGGTTATCGTTTTTGGCAAGTTATCGGGGAGTTATCGGCGTTATCGATACTTATCGGCCGATAAGTAAGGTTTTTTTATCGGGATTATCGGCCGATAAGTAAGGCTATGCAATCAAATGGTTTCATCGTGCGGTCAAGATGCAAGTTTTGCTTTCTACAATTGGTTAGTGATTCGAAACATGATGATTTACATTTTGGTATGTTTATATTTCATTAAGCATAGTTAGATTACATTTTTTAGTTATTATATTATATATATACACCATCTAGTATATCACTCCGATAAATACTACTTATCCCCGATATATCCCGGATTTCCGCTATCCGATAAGAATTTTGGCCGTCCGATAAATTCCCGATAACCGATATTTAAAACCTTGCGTGTAAGTGTATGTAGCAGGTATAAAGAAAATATGAAATCTAAATTAAATGTGACTAAAAGAAATGCTACTTGTAGATATTGTGAATAAATCTATCACAGAGCATATAAACACATTATTCTTATTTTACATGTTATTTGAATTAGAATAGAATAGTATCATGTATATAAATCAGTTTCCCGTAAACTGTCCTGGGAACATGGCTTCAAGTCAAGTATTGGTCATTGGCCCTTGTATATATAAGTCAAGATATCAAGAATGCGCATGAGCCCACTTATATACATTATATATTCTCCGTCCACTTCCTCTTTTATTAAATCTCATATTTTTCTGTTTAATCTAAGTGACTGTTCATGAAATATTGTGCACTAACCACAAAGTTACTGTGGAAAGACTTCCGTAAAACTATAAAAAATAATCGTGACCCAAGAACATGTCCAATCAAGATGGGTGCAAAAAATCTAGTCGATGCTAATGTATAATAATAATAATCAAGAGAATTCCCCACACCGGAATATCGATTTTAAGGGTATAGCCATGCTATGATAGCACACTTATGAATCATATTTTTGACGGAAATCGTCTTCATACACAGTCGGCCCTATTTAGTGTCACTATATGATCAAACATTATCATATGATTAAACACGTCATCAAGTGATTAAACCTATCCTCTTTCATCTTAACAAAAAGGGAAAATAAATAAATAACAAAAAATAGGTCAAACGGTTTTCGTTTGATAACCTAAAGATCCACAAAAGTAGTATTTGTGTATTAAGGGCCCAATTGGGTCTGTAATTTGAGTTCTAGACATTGTTATAAATAGCGGTAAATAGCCCCGCAATAGCGACGCTAATAGTGTTAGTGGTCCCTTCCCACGACGCTATCGCCCGCTACGCTATCGCGCAATAGCGGTGACATATTACGGAATATGTCTGTTCGCAAAAGCGGTCAATAGTGTGTCATAACGATAAATAGTGAGCGATTGCATTCGAAATTTGTTTTTTGACTGCTATTTAAAAACAGTTTAAGGCTTTTTTTTAAATTAAACTCAACCATTGACCATTGCATTCCACCGATTCCTGTGATTTTCAACATACTCCCGCCACCTCTCATAGCCTCTGGCACCTACCTTGATACTTCATCTCACATTCTTCACTGTGAGCTCTTTTTAGGGCAGTCCTGTCACCGCTAAACTCTTCTTCTCAAAGACGACGATTTTTTGACTCCTCCAGTCATCTTCAGTAATACGTGATGGTTACATGTATATTTCATGTTTAGGATCTCTTTAAATCATCCAATATGTACTTTTAGATTTTTTATATTTTTTTAAATTTTTTTAGTATTTATACATATCTAAATTCGACCGCTATTTGACTTTGCGCTTTACCGCTATTTTGCCGCAATAGTCCGAAATAGCCTTAGCGATGTCTCACCGCTACGCGACGCTATCCGCTATCGATAACCTTGCTTATAGACCGAAATGGGTCTGATTGCTAATAATGAGCAATCATGGATCCTGACCGAGTCGGGTTTGACTTCAAAACAGACCCGAACACGAATTTGGCATAAAAAGAAGGGCCATGGGATTCAAACTCATGATTAAGAACATAATATGCAAGTCAACTAACCACCATGCCAAGGGCATTTTCATGACAGCCTGCCTTCAGTATATATGAATATATCTACTAACAGTTTAAGCAAAAGTAAAAACACTATTAGTATACAGAGACCAAGGATCCATAATGGTAAGCATTTAATCCATATCGAAGATATAACAAATAAATAAATAAATAAATAAGAATTTGTGCAAGAAGTTTTGGCATGAAATATCTAACAGACTAAATCATACACTTTACCCCTTAATTCATAAAGTAACAAGAAATTTCATGGCTATGCAAGAATTTTAAGGTACCAATAGATAGTGACATAAAAGTTAAAAGAGTAAAGGAAAATATTATGCTTGCATGAAGAAAAAAAAATGGGAAGTTAAGCTTGCTGAAATTCGAGAGAAACTCCGAAAGCTAAACCGAAGCAAGTAATTCCTTTTTTCCCCTCTTTATTGTAGTTGTTGCTTCCCTTCTCCTTTCTTTCTTTCTCTCTTTTTTTCCCTTTTTTTTTGAAAGTGCCGTGGAGAAAAAGGGTAGAGGGGATGGGTAGAGATTTTAAAGAGATATTGGATATTGATACCTAACCTTTATGGACTCAAGGATATCATGAAATAACTACATGTAGGACATGATGTTAACATTTTTTTTTTACTTGATGGAATTTGATTTTATATAGACTCAGGTTGATTATGTGGTATGGGTGTGAAATTTGATTTATGTTAAACTCAGGTTGACTGATTATCAGTGATCCGATCATTATTTACATGCTTGAATTGTTGCTTCATGCTTTTGAGATTGGTTGATTCAGTCATTGGTCTACATGCTACTTCTGAAATATATGCATTCAACCTCAACATAAGGAGGATAAACATGTTATTGCTCTCTTTATGTTTTGAACTTTACATGTTAAATAGCCAAAGGTGATAGTTTAATGCTTCGGAAGTTCATAATTAGGATATCACCTCTGTTTTAAGGTGGAAAATGATATTATGTGTTTGTATGGTGGTTATCAAGGGTAGACACGAGAAAGCTTGAAAGACCGAAACCTATAAACCTGCTTGTCCATGTTGTTCAAGCTTCAACAAATATTTTGAAGCTTAATTTTATAGTGATGAAGTTCTGGAAGGATGATAGATTTGTATTTAACTTGATTCTATGCTAGTACTGGGAAAGTTCCTAGCTGATGAGCAATTGATGAGCTTGGTACAAAGCTCAGAACTAACACCAGCCAGTGGATATAAATTTGCTTGCGTATGACATAGAGAATGGACTGAGTAACAGTTCTTATTCAAGAGACTGATACCAAGAGACTCATGAAGAATAGGCATCCCTCTCAAGGTATATTGCATAAAGTTGAAATAACTTAGGAGAAGCATGCAAACATGTCTTTTACATTGAATATAAATGGCAATCATTTTGGAGGGAGACATTGGGTACTTGGTATAAGCTATCTCTATCTAATTCTAACATATTGAATGCCAACACCCCGTGCTTAATTCCTGAAAAGTCCATCTCATGGGTTGATGCCCTTAAATTTTATTGTAGTTGTCTAAAGTAATCCCACTTGAAATCAATTAAGTTATTTCATTGTTTATTAGCATCTATTTTCAAAATTTTAGAGAATTTCTTAATGATTTTGTTTTTATCTATCTATACAAGGGATAACTAAAGGATCTTCGCCTAACTACTTCTTCCTTATTTGTAATAAATATTAATCCTCATGCATCCTCGTCATCATTATTATTTTCAGTTTTTTTATAACTTCTAGCCGTCCCTTTATGTTTCTTCTGCTTCTCAGACATTTGTGACTGTTGTGCTTTGAGATTAGTATAGTAATTTGTAAGCTACATATATCAGATATTTATGTTGGTGAAAGATCTAATTGAAAAGCCTTATAGTTATGTAGTCATTTCATCCTAACATTCCTTTGAAAATCGATTTGAGACTAACTCAAGTTTTGAGATGATGTTTTTTTGGTGGTATGCTGTTTTCTTTTGGTTTGCTTTAGCTGAGTGGCCCAAAGCTGTGCATCTGACTGAGTACCTAACCCTAACCTGCAATCTTGCTTGGACCTTAAAGGAAGGATTTATTAGTGCAGCAAAGATTTTGTTCTTGTTGGAACTAGCAACAAGTTCAGTAGCTGCTTTCATTGAATTGAGTTTCGAGTTTATAGTCTGAAATAATTCATAATTGTTGGAGTTTCTCGGTGGAAATAAGCTTTGCAATGTTGAGTTAGTTCTGATTTGTCATACTTGAAGTTCTCCAGTGTAATTACTATTTGCATAGTGAAATCGGTGTTCTCAGCAATGACCTGGAGATCTGGAATCCAAGGTTCACTTTACAAGATTGAATAAAAAGAGGTCTGTGGCTAATCTATTAGTTGATGGTAATATAGATTGTGTACCTCAGTTAATTAAAGTTTATTGGCATTTATTTAAAAACAAAGGGAACTGAAAAGGATGCATTTGTCTAATCTCTTGACATTAGCTGTGACAAGCAGTATAGCGTTCAAATCCTTTTGAACACGATCGTTATATTTTAATAGATCAAATATTACTTAAAGTACTGTACGTAAGAAACATTTAGAAGTGCTCTGCATAATCTTTGCATTAAGATTTCTTCTTGGGGATTCCATAAGTGACCAATACAATAAGCAAATTAATCTTGACTTGTCTTTGTGCTGTATTACCTAACCTGAAGTGTGCCAATTGCTGACTCCACAATTGATGTTTGATGGAGTACCATGACTCATCTTCCATCACGAACAGCAAACAGTCCTATGGTTGGTGCTAGCGCAATAGGCAACTTTCATTGAGTAGCATTAGTGGCTGAATTTTACCATACAGCAACAGGGGATGTTTGTGCCATTCCTTGTTTAATCTGCTTGATGTTTTGTGATATCTTTTTTTTCCCTTTACTTTTTCTCCTTCTCTCTTTTTTTTAATAAAGACTTATTTTCGAAGGCAAAGATGAAACTTCTAAAACAAATAGTATCCAGTTTAGAAGATAGTGAGAACAAATTCCTAAATGCTTTTTCTTTTTTTTTTCTTTTTTGGGTGAGTAATAGCGACTGAATCTTTTTGTACAAAATTATCGAATGAATGTTTCAAGTGTTCTACACGTTTCATTTTATCTCTGTCAATGTCAGCCCCGCTAATTCATGGGTTCAAAATTTGCAGGCCTAGAAGCTAATCAAGAGAAAAACAAATGCCAACAGCAATTTGATGATTACAAAGAGTGCAAAAAGAAAGAGGTGTAGCTCATTGTTCCCTGTTAAACAATGTTTGGACCTTTTATTTGATTACACACGTTCAATTTATTATTTGCAGAATTGTATCAGAGATTTAATCATAGTTACGATTCTTTTTATTTACTATAACCTGCATGGCCATATGTTTAGAACATTATAATTGATTTGTGCTTCATGGAACTACTGCCCATATTAAGAGAGATGTAGATATGTAGTAGGCTGTTTATGGAAAGAGAAACATATAATTGAAACATTAAAACTGAAGAGAAGAAAATCCAGAGTTCAAGTAGCTATTGAGGAAGATACTATAAATTAGAATATCAACATTAGTGTTTTATGAAATTATCCTATTATCTAGGTTCTTTTCTTGTGTGATGGTTAATGAGCTTGGCTAATGCTGTAGTAGTTAATTTTAACACTTTGGAATTGCCCATTAAATGTCCATAAGTTGGTATTAGCAGTATATCTTTTAGTTAGAATTATGCAAATCAATTTCCATCTAATATTACCACGCAATCAGACAATATTGTTAACCCCCTTCTCTTGAATACTTGTTTAATTTGTCATTTGATTGCTTATTTCATGCTTACAACGATCTTGCATTTCTTCGCAGAGGGAGGCTCGGCTAGAACGCAACAAAAGTAGATCTCTTTTCGGATGAAGGCGACATTTTTGATGGATTAAGGCTCATTATAGCGAATAAGAAATCCGAGGACTACTCAAACTGAAACGAACATTATGCCTTCTCTAATATTGTTCTGAGCTTCTGTGAGGACTTTTGATGGCAAAATATGTTGAATACATTATTATGTAAGCTTTGCTTGTGGGATCTTGAGAAATTTATGCAACGGAGGTGCATTATTTTACATGATTCTAAGGGTGAAAAGGATCCATGCATATATGATGCCTGTTGCGCTACATCATTTTGCTGCTTTCCTTAAAAGAAAAATACTTACCTCTACCATTTGTTGAGTAAATTCTTGACATAAAATTGACTGAGGCATTATCAGCAAATTGTCTTTTCTTGATTGTGATTGAAACTTTTTAAAATTCAGGACATAATTAGTATTCTAAATTGACAACTGTTGCCCTTTTTTGTGCACAAAAATACCTCCATTACCCAATTGTTATAATATACTTAAAAATAATTTAATACTCCATGTTTAAAGTCCCTTGAGTACATGCCAAAACCAGCACTCGCATAGCACTGTCAATTTTTAGAGATTTAAAACTGAATTGCTTTGATGTCATCTTAAAATCCCTCTAGCCATTACACCAAAACTTTAAAATTGTGGTGAGGGTTGACGATAAATTATGGCGAAGATTGGGGATTATATGTTTTAGTATGGAGTCGTAAAATTAGCATTTTGGGACATAAAATTAGGTATTCTCGCATGTAGGAGTGCAGTTTATCCAAAAAGAGGGAAATTCTCATCTTCAATATAATTTTTTTGATTTTCAGGGTTTAATGTTGAGTAGGCAGAGCGCTTTATTAGTTTCCTGAAGAAATATTGTGAAAATAATATATCTTAAGGGATACTGCAAGAATAATTTTACAACTCCAACTTAACCATTAAACCCTCTTACGAGAGCCTTATGGCTTGTTTGGATGGAGGGTAGAGAAAAAAAAAAGAAAATTTTGATTTACTTTTATTTGAAGAGCTCCATTTTAAAAAGATAAAAAAAAGAGAGAGAAACTTTGAACTAAAAAGAAGGGAAACTTTAGTAACACACAATTAAGTTACGCAGCCTCTCCCAGATTTTAACAGGTCTCCCCTCTTTTAACCCCCGAAAGCTCGCTTCTTTTTTAACACCAAATTAACTCCGAAGCTCTCTGAAGAGAGAGAGAGAGAGAGAGAGAATAAAACCATGGATTTCTCAGAGCAAGACGTAGAAATCTTCGGCGAGGAGTTCGAGCAAGAAGAAGAAGAGGACGATGAACACTCACATCAACTCAATCCGAAGCAACCCAACGACGACGACGAGGAACACAGCGCCGATTCGTCGCCGGCCTCCTCTTCCTCTTCGTCCTCGTCCTCGAGT